GAGTGACACATAATGGCTATCTCACATATCACTACAATGAGCTGCAGTGGTCCCTTACACCAGACATAATGATTAAATCTACATATTTCTGTGCTTATTTTACCAGTTCACCGTGTCTGTAGTTTGTGAGTGCTCCACATGTCGGTCCTAAACATGGTTCAATTTACTGTAAGTATCGAGGCACCTTGAACTTATGCAACCATGGCTAAGACTAATGCTTTCAATTTGTATTTTGTATATATAACACATGCATTAATCATCAGACATTTTCTAAAATACCTAACCACAATAAAACAACAGCTTGTGGTACTCGTAGCCTGAGTAACCTAGCTCGGATGAAATAATGTCTGTTTCAGGGAGGTTACGCAGGTATATTGTATGGAATAATCCTCTGAAAGCATGTGATTCATTCCACTGTGATGAATAAAAATGATGTTTTTGAAGCACCTGAACATCAAGCGAATTGTCAAAGGACAGATTGGATGACTAGTTGAACAAGCATATACTCAGCAAACAGTCAACCAAAGAATGAAATATCCAGACACACATTAATCTAGAGTAGCCCAAGTATGAATGGCTACAATCCGCTTGACTAACATTCTATCAAAAAAAAAACTTTTTTTTTTTTTTTTTTAAAGTATGAAGTACAGGAAACTCTGTGGAGTCAGGAAGGACACTGCCCCGGTGCTTCCTCTCTGCCACTTCAAAAATATCAACTAGCAGAGAGGTAGCAAATGCTTAAGAGGGATCCTGTAATGTGTGGCCTTTGCCTTATTCTGAACTGCAGAAAACAGGAAAGTGAAGCGCATGAATTAATTACTAAGTTTATACATGGCATTCTAAACCTAGAGTAGGGGTAGGCAATGTTTACCACACTCTATGTTGTGGACTACATCACCCATGAAGCCTTACCAGCATTGTGGCTGCAAAAGCCTTATAGGAGATGTAGCCCACAACATCTGGAATGCAGAAGGTTGCCTACCTGTGATCTAGAGCAACAGTTTGCACAGAAATCTCAGTTTGAGCTAAAAATATATCCAGCTGAGGGTGATAGGAATTATATTACAATAGATACACCGTTCCTCCTTGTTCTTCCTATTTTTCAGTCTGTTGGCAACAGGTAACTCTGGCCTGTTTGCCCAATCCTCTTTCAATGCTTAGCTATAGCCTCTGTGTACTCATTTTGAATTTTTGTCCAATGAAAACTTTTACTTTTTAGTATTAAAAGAAACTGATACTGCATATTTAGTCAAATTTAATTGGTAATGGGAGAGTGGTAATTAAAAATAAAATGGATGTTTATAAATTTGACATCCTCCTTGATGTAGAAATACATTCTATCATGTCTATCATATGGACTCTTTTTTTATCTTTTAAGCATGTAGGCACCTTAATTTGTAAACCTGCTTTTGACCCAGTATGGCACACACTTGCGATTATTTATAGATATGTTTTTAAAATGTGCTTTTTTAACATTCCCTGGAATTGTTTCAGTACCCCAATGTGTAATATGGAAACCTGGCATTGTTTTCATTAAAAGTAAATACCACGGTTGGGAATATATAATGGATAGAGAAGGCAGCATAGTGACATTGACGCATAAACTCTAAGCACGTTGAAAGGAAATAACATATGGACTCAGTAAGGGAAACATACAAATAAAAGACATAGGATATAACAGTCAGGCAGGAAACCGTACAAAACTAACAGTAATATAGAATGTACTTGTAAAAACGTAAATATAAGGAATTTAGATGATAATGATAAACTGTGACAATAAGGAACACTAGTAGCAAATCTGCAGAATAACAACAACACACATACATATCTGACCTACAGGTTTTCTTTTCAGTAATAATAACAACAACAACAACAACAAGTGATTTTATAGCACCTTTCTCCCAGTGGGACTCACTGTGCTTTCTTAGAATTTAACAAATCATCAGCTGAATAGTAAACCATATTGTTACCCAATTAATGGTACTCATTTTATTGACCTAGGAAGGACTGGAAAGGCTGGTACTTGAACTTGTGATCTTGCATTTTTGAACAGGCTTATCTAGTCAGGGAATTTACCAACTGAGCTACCTCACCAGCTTTTGTTCTGACATATATATAATATGTTAGATATGATGTCTGCACAACTGTAGCCACAATAATACGGTATGCTATCTGTTTTAAAGGACTGTCAGTACAGATGGTTTTCTTTGGAGATAAGGAAATAAAACAAAACTGTTGCTTGGTTTCCCTTATTTAACGAATGTATCACTGTATGTAACACAGTTCTGAACCATTCTTTTGAACAGCCTCCTCTGCCTGTACTGATTTGAAATACTATATACAGGGCTATTCACCGAATGGATAAAATCCGATAAAAATAGCCGAATTCCAACCACACAATGGCGATTTCCATATTTACTAAAGTCAAACCCAGTCGGCATTCGGAGTCCAGATTAAATCTTTGTATCTGCATTCAAATTCAATACAAAATTAACAGAATTTGAAATCAAATGCATCTTCACAAACTGTACTTCACTTGATTTTTTCGAAGTGAATTCGTAATTTGAAGTATTATTTGCTTGCTCTGTCAGTGGTTAAATAGTTAGAAATCCTTGGGTTAATATTCAATAATAAACCTTTTTAAAAACTTATATTACTGTAAGGGAGGTTTTAAACTTTCCTATTTGACCTGCCATTTGAAATGAGGGGACATGTTAGTAGGTATCCTAACATTTTAATGTCCCCCTCTGCCCACACTCGTGGTCAGCGGGTAACGTCTACTAAATGTATCCAAGGGTTATAGTAATTCACCACTGCCCCTACCCATGGGTGGTGGGTGGGGGCTATTATTATATAACCAGGGCCACCTAGTATCACAGTCCCACCCATGGGTGGTGGGTGAGGGCTCTAAATAATTAAAGAAGGGAAGGACCTAGTGTTCCCCATCACCTACCTGTTAGAGGTCAGTGGGGACTCTATATATGGAGGACCTCCACCCATAGGTTGCAGGTGGGGGCTCTAAATAATTATACAAGGGGGCTGGACATACCGTTGTCCACCCACACAAAAAGAGGCATGGCACACCTTCCCTAATCTCCCCAGGTGGCTGTTAAACTAATTAAGCCCTCTATAAACAACTCACTACTAATATCCCTAGTGAAGAAGTCATTACAACGAATTCCCCCCCCCACATAAAAATGCAATGCAATTTGCTAAAAAAAAAAAAAAAAGTAAAAAAGGAATGCATTTTTGCTCTTTGAGGTCTCCCGGATGAAGACTTTAAATATGGGAAGAGTCTTTATAATGGGTTATAAAGAGAAAAAAATATAGAGAGTAAATCTGTAGGACAAAATATGCAATGTAAAATTAAACTTACCAGCAGGGAGAAAGTGGAGACTTTAAGGCTCCAAATAAAAATATCCAGCAACCAAATCTAGGTACCCAGCTGCCGATGCAGCAAGTGTATTATTCATCGGTAGTTTGCCAGAAAAACTCAGGGCAAACTTCAGATGAATGGTACCCAAACTTCATCGGCTGCTGGGTACTTATGTCTGGATTCTTTCAAGTTTGAGCAGGCTACACCTGTGTGTGTAATATATATATATATATATTTGTGGTCGTGGCAATATAGCCGCATATGGAAACATAGCATATGATAACATATCAATATTGGAATTAGTCGGTTGTGGTGTGCCGAAACCGACAGAGGAGTAGGCCTGTAAAAGTGGGCCCACCTTAGAGGGTGTTTATAATAGAGGGAGTGGTGGGTGGGTTGACTCGCCAGACCATTACGGTAATGTGGGAGTGGATTGGCAGCCCTTTTAAAAAACCAAGCCCCTCCCACAACTACAGGCCAAGCCTTTTAATTTGTGGTCGTGGCAATATAGCCGTATATGGAAACATAGCATATGATAACATATCAATATTGGAATTAGTCGGTTGTGGTGTGCCGAAACCGACAGAGGAGTAGGCCTGTAAAAGTGGGCAAAAATAAATCATAAGACGTAATACGTTGACCAAAACTTTATTTAGATAAATCACAGAAAGCTAGTCTTAATTCTTTAACAGGATTGGGTATGTAAAGAGTATAAGCGGAAGATTTCCAGCGTCCCATTGTTTTGATGATGTGCGGAGGAATGTGGTTAGCAGAAGCTGTAGATGCTGCTCCTATTCGGAAAGAATGACCCGAAAATTGACTAGGGTTCAAGCCGAGTCTAGTCAACAGCAGTCTTACATAGATAAACTTTACTGTAGTTAGAACGTTACCGTGCAGTTCTAGCAAAGGTTGTAATGGTTGTTTGTGGAGTGATAAAAGATAATTGTCAAAATTTTGTACAGGGCACCATTTGTTATGAGTAGGGTATAAGGGGATTGTAACGGTATGACCTATGGCACTGGTTTTTGAGTGTTTTAGCGTGAGTAGGTAATGGTCGTTTTGTTTCGCTAAGTCCATAATTCTTAGGTAATCAGGGGACGTGATAGTCCTAGTTGTGAATTCGTTGGGACGGAGGAATCCATAAAAAGCAAGATATATGGCTGATTTTATTACCGTGTTTGTCCTGGGCTCAAAAGGAGAGGAATCTAACAAGTTTACTAGTGCATGAAATATGTGGTTATCAATAGGTAGTCGTTCCTCGGGGATATGTGTATCTAATTTCTTAATGCCTCTAAGAACTGTCTTGATTTGATATGAGGACAGGAAACTCGTGGTGTTGGGTTGTTGAATTAGCATGTGGTGTTGAATTCCCGTAAGGTATAGTTTTATAGTGTTAAATGATAGTTTAAGGTTGATGTGGCAAAAGGAAGTGAAACCCAATATTGTTTCTATCGTGAACATATCGTGAATGTGAAATTCAGTGATGAATTTTTTGAATATGTGAAAAGCTCTGTCGTAAGTGTTTCTAGTGTTTACAGAGAGTGCCATGTGAGAAATGTGACGTGCGTGATTTAACAAAACTTTTAAGCCATTATCATGTCTGTGAAAAGTGGGACTGGAGTTGCCCGTCTGGAGGCGGTGGGTAGTGTCGTGAAGAATTCCTGAAAACGAAATCGAGACAAGTGATCAGCACTGATGTTTGTGCACCCTGGAACGTGAATACATGTTAGAAAGAATTGACAAGTGGCTGCTATCCATGTGAGTCGCCTCAATAGCCTCATAATTACCAGGGATGAAGAACGGCCTTTATTGACAATATGGCAAGTAGCCATATTATCAGAATAGCACCACACCGTGTGACCGGACCACTGGCGGCCCCAGGTAACGGCCGCAGCCACGATGGGGTACAATTCGAATAAAGCTGAGGTCTCTGTGAATTTTGTGAGTGATTTGACCTCAGTTGGCCATGGCCCCATGAGCCATAGGTCACCCCATATGGCTGCAAACCCCGTGTTTGCTGCAGCGTCTGTCCATATTGTGGGTGAAGTGTCTGAGTGAGATGGTATAAACATGGCACGCCCATTCCAAGAAGTGAGGAAAATCCTCCACATGCTCAAATCGGATGTCGCATGTTTGTCTAGTGAAATGTAAGATGTGTCTGAGGTGAATTGTGGACATAGTGATAGCAAATGTGAAATAAATGATCTCCCCTGGGGAATGATTCTCATTGCAAAATTAAGCGATCCCAGCAATGATTGTAGGTCTTTCTTAGTGCAACGACCTTGCTGTAGGTAGTGGTCAATACTTGCCAGGATACACTCAATTTTCTCCTGAGGGAGGCTGGCCTGCATGTGTACTGTGTCTAGTTGTATTCCTAAAAATTGCATCTGGGTGGCGGGCCCCAGGGTCTTGTGTGGGGAGACTGGAACAGAAAGTGACTCAAATAATGCCAACATGTGTTTTAAACTTGTGGGTGGACTTGTGTTGTTGTCAATTGTGAGGAAGTCGTCTAAATAGTGAATTACAGAGGGACATTGGTAAACATTTAGCAACAACCAACATAAAGCCTCTGCAAATGTGTCGAAAATACGCGGGCTGCTCTTAGAGCCAAAAGTGAGACGAGTGAAGAAATAGTATAACCCTTCCCATTTAATGCCGTGAAGGTGCCAAAGTGTAGGGTGCATAGGCAGTAGTTTGAAGGCATTTACTACATCCGTTTTGCTTAACCATGCCCCTGTGCCAGCTTTAATGATAGCCCCGATGGCATGGTCGATAGTGGCGTAATGTAGTGAAAACTCTTCAGATGGTATCAGTGAATTTAGGCTAGGGACCGTGGAGGAATGTGGTGCGGATAAATCAATGATCAGCCTGGGTTTAAGTGAGTTTTTCCCCGTGACAATCCCAATGGGATTGGTTCTCCAAGAATTGAAGGGTGGTGAAAGGAATGGACCCAGCAAAAAACCTTGTTTCACCTCGGTTGTGATAAGTTTAAGTACCAGCTGTGGGTCAACCCGTGTGGAAAGTAAGTTGTCACATTCCAGTGTGCCTGTGGGTAAATGTATCAACCCTGTGTGAAATCCTTCTGCTAATCCTGTTATGAGATAGTCGCTGAAGTGTCGTGATGGGTGTAGACGTAGCAAATCGGTGAATAAGCTGAGGTTCACGCATGTGAGATAGGGTTTAGGGAAAGCTTTATTTGGGCACATTGTCTTGGAATGAGCCCTGAAACAATGTGAACAAACATGCATTAGTCTACAGGAACTAAAACCACAATTGCCGGCATTAAAATTGTTACATACTTGGGATTTCCCTAAGAAGACAATATCTCTTCCTAGTTTGTCTTTCAAACCTTTGTTTGATCTTGGGGGGTAAGTTGCTGCTTGGTTTTGTTCTACCTCAGCTGTATTAGGGCAGAAATTTGTGCTGTGGGTTGCTGATGAGCATACTGCACAAGTTGGGGGCCTGAGGCCTGCAAAGTGCCTACAGAATAGCTCAGTGTCCAACTTGCTCCAATTGATGTTTAAATTGAACTGAGCCAGAGCTGCTGCCACTTTTGCAGAGAAGGAACGGTGGTAATCGTAAAACGCTGTACCACCGTATTTGTGTCCCAGATCCACCAACTTGTGCATGTACGTATCCAGCTCGGCTCTTTTCCCTGGGTATACAGTGCAATATACATCCCTATAGATGCCAAACCCTAATACAAATTCTGGGATGTTCAATTTTTTGTTTAGGCGAGGGTCTCTAGCTCTAAGGACTACGGAAACATCCCCACAAGCAAAGGTCCTGTTCTCAAGGACATCCTGGGAGGCAATGAGCAATGAAGCTAGGTTAACGTCCTTGCCTTCCAGAATGTCTTTTTTAAGGTGAGCTGGGACCATATGTGAAGGATCAATGGATTCTATGTCAGCCGTAGCTGCCAGGGTATTACCGGGTAAGGTATTAGCAAGAGGCTGAGTGGTGACCGTTGCATTTGTGGACTGAGTAACACTACCGGCCTCCAATTTGTCCAGCCTGTTGCTGATTGTCCCTATGGATGTCATAAGGGACGTCATCATAGCATGAAATGCTGGTATTTGCGATCCGCTAGTGCCTTCCCCTGCATCGGAGTTGTCAGTGGTAGTATATAATAGCCTATACAACTCCGCCTTCCTAGCTGTAGCCGGGAAAGGGATGCAGCGTCTTCTTAGTTCAGCTGTAAGACGTGGGATGGTCCATGATCTAAGGGATGCAGGGCTATTCACATCTGTACCCGGAACAGGGGTGGCAGGCCTAGCGGGTGTGCTAGGTAGTGACAGTTCTTCAGGGATATCAGGTGTTAGTGACATAACTGAAATTATAAATATAAACAGTCAGTCGTATGAAATGTATTGTGGGTGGGTACTGGTGGGCTAGCTAAGTACCAAGCGGTGAAACAATTAAACTTCTTTTGAGAGTGACAGATGAGACCCTGCTAGTTGCCAAGCGGCTTGAGAGGCACTATCTATGCGTGGGCCCGAGGGGAAGATTGAGGCAACCGAACGTTGTGGCGGGGTGTAGGCCTCTCGGTGTCATTTAAAGCATAAAAAAGATTGGGAGTGACAGGTGAGGCCCTCTCTGTATATTGATGCGAGGCGGCTAGCTATGATTTGGCCCGAGGGACGTATTACCTCCGAGTGTGAGGTTAGGGATGTTGGCCTCGCGGGACCACTAGCCTATGGATTAAGACCAGAAATATTTTAACTAATTGGGCCACCTAACCTAGGACCAGTACCCCTCAATTTTTTTAGGGTATATTGGGTTCTGGCGTAGTACCTGATAGTGAGTCAGGCTGATCTCTCAATGACGTAACTGTGATATTTGTCGGGTAGTTTGACCTGTAGGTATAAGATGATAAGTAAATATCTGGAAAGTGGGGTGGTAGTTAGGCCAGATCGTGGACCAGAACCTACCCGATAACTGCGGAGGAGATATAATCAAAAGAAACCGGCTCCTTGCTTGTAAAAGCTACCGTTCCAATGATTAAACCTAGGAGAGTAAATTATAACATTTTACCTAAAATCATATGTTTATATGGTCATTTATATGAATCATATGACAATGTTACCAACCTATAAAGTATAATTGATACCGATCACTGGGTCCCCAAATTTTAATATGAATTCTGGTAAGGTAACCTGTTGGAAGATGTCAGAAATCAGGATTGAATTAAGTGTAGCATAATTTAATACATTTTAATTTGTATTTTTTTTTTTTTGTATTTATTTTGGTGCTATATCATTATTGACCTGTAGGGGGCGAGATTCCACCTAAGAAGTGGATGCAGGATCTTGTATAATTAGTGAGAAATGCACGAATTTGAGTCGAATGTGATGATAGTATATAATGACTATTTTGTATAGTAGAAATCCTAAGTATCTAGCCGAATGTAGCGTTCGTATGAAATTTAAAACATGAATTACATAGCTTAGCGGCGAAGTGTATTTAGGCGAAAATAACCGAATGCGTTTGAATGCGAATGGGGCTCCGCCGTGTAAGCCGTAAATGTGAAGCGGTTTGCTTTACGGCGGGCCCACTTACGTTTTTTTGGCGGCAGCAGTACCGGGGAAGCTGTGCAGTCGGCGGTGACGGCGGGAAAAGCGCCCTGGAGAGCCCGGAACCACTCAGGAGGGCACCGGACCAGGAGACCACGAGGAAACAGGTAAGAGGAATCCAAAATGGCGGTCTGAACCGGAAGTAACGTTTCAGACTCGCCAGACCATTACGGTAATGTGGGAGTGGATTGGCAGCCCTTTTAAAGGGAAACCAAGCCCCTCCCACAACTACAGGCCAAGCCTTTTAATATATAAAATATTTTACCTGGAAGGATACGGTGAGATTTGTCTCATTTTCAAGTGTCCTTAAAAATTAATTAAGCATACTGTGACAAACTTACTTTCCTGTGTGTGTTTGTCCAGGATCTTTTGGCAACCGCACAGCCCTCTAGGGTAAGAAAACCAGGTCAAGACAAAGTCCAGTTTCAAAAAGGCCTCTGGCCTGTTTATTTTCTGTTGTTGTGAAGTAACAGGATACAATGTACAGCAAATCTTCTTTCTCCACAAAACACCTTCTTTCTCCTCCAAAACACTTCCCTCACTTCACCCTGCTTTAACTGCAGTTATATAGCTGCTCACAGCCCCTACAGGTGAGGCTAATGACCTCGTTAGGCAGTGAGCCAGAACTCTATGGGAAACCTGGGCTGGACTCATGCACAACCACTCTGACAGTGGGTGGAGAATCGGCCCACCCTGCTCTTCCGAATACTCCACCCCAGGGACCCAAATAACAACAGAGGAAAAAAAAACTACATTTAAACTTAACTTTCCCTGGGGCTGCATGTGCTTACCCACATGTCAGGATAGTGGCTGTGCAAAAGTCTGGGTGCCAGATATACACCCCTGACCACCATCCCCAACACTCTGTTACAATACATATTACAAAATAATGCACAAGGAGGCTATGTTACATGCAATCTTTTATTTTCAACCATAAAATAATAAAAAATTATGATGGTTTTCCTTTAAAAATGCACATCCCTGATATTTGTTAGCATAATACAGGTGATTAAGGCTACAGAGCTGGAAGCAGATAATCAAGCAGCAGCTGTCATTAAACAACATCTTCACGGCTCCTAATCATGACTCTCCCACTCCATCTACCTGATCCTCTCATGTACAGAGGGCTGTTAACTCACTGCAGATGTTCTGAAGGCAGACTGCATGTAGTAATCTGCTGGTAGTGTCACCCCGTCAAACAGGTCTAAGGAGCAGGAACAATGTCGACGACCACATTAATGAGCTCCAATGCTTGCTGTATATTACAATTAT